CTACAGTTGGGTTGGTTTCTGGGTACTATCATCATGTGTGTTAATGGTCAGCTGTTGCTTGCTGTTGTTGGTTCTCTGTCCAAAGGACTCCCTTTAGCATCTCTTGTAAGGCTGGTCTGGTTTTAACAAATTCCCTTAATTTCTGCTTATCTGGAAATGTCCTAATTTCACCAACATATTAGAGGGACAATTTTCCTGCGTATATAATTCTTGGTAGGAAATTTTTCTCTTTCAGGGTATTTTTTTGTTGTTGTTTTATCCATTGTCTTCTCACCTGCATGGTTTCTGCTGAGGAATCCGAGCTTAGTCTTATTGGTTTCCTCTTGTATGTAACTTTTCATTTTTCCCGTGCTTTCAGAATTTCTTCTTTGTCTTTGGTTTTGGTTAAGTTTGATGATGATATGTCTTGGTGATTTTCTTTTGGGGTCTATCCTGTTTGGGGTTCACTGGACCTCTTGATTGGCTATATTCTCTTCTTTCATCATACCAGGAAAATTCTCTTCCAACAAACCTTCCACAATTTTTTCTGTGGTTGTCGTCTGTATCTTCCTGTTCTGGAATTCTGATTACAGTTTATTCCTTTTGATGGTATCACACATGAACTTTAACCTTTCTACATTTTGTTTTGATCTTTTTTCTAATGGATCCCTTTCCAAAGAAGTATTGAGGTATTTGCCTTCAATCTACTAATTCTGTCTTCCATTGATTCAATTCTATTCCTTTGCCGGTTGTCTATTTCTGAAAATTTAGTATTAATCTTCTGGACTTCTGTGTGTAGATTTTGTATAATTTCTAAATTTTTATTTATTTTGTCATTTTGTTCTTGCATTGTCTTTCGAAACTGTGCTAGGGTTTTCTCTGTGTTTTCCTCAATTTTGTCAGTATTTTTCTTGATCTGTCTCTCAATTCGCTGAAGGTACCTAAATAAAATTCTTTTGAATTCCTTATCAGGGAGTTCCAATGCTGCTTCTTCCTCAGGGATGTGTTTTGGATCTATATCCTGGCCCCTTGTATCTCTTGCTTTATTCTGCTTCTTTGTGTGAACCATGATCCTCTGCAGTCTCCAAGGCATTGTGATGTTCTTATGTTTGTATTTAATTGGTGATTGTATGTTGGAGTGACTTGCCCACTGCAACGTAGTAAATTACTTAGTGTGGCTTTTCTACCCATAAGTCTTTGTAAACTCCAAGGTGGGATTTTCTATGAGCAACC